ATGGAGCTTTTTTCGTGTATGTCCTACATATAGAAAACAGTTTGGTGGCCCAGTTTATTGATACAACTTTTGCTGTGTACAATCAGCTCTCTTGGCAGCACAGACTCTGATTTTTCCGCACACTTTTCCGGCAAAAATTCGGGGGCTCTCTTCAGCTTGCCCAGGCGACAAATGAAGGATTATTTCGGCTCGTACGTTTTGGAATTTGTGCTGGAGATTTCAATTATAGAAGCACACAACAACACTGCACTGAATCAATCAATCAATTTCGCTTGTAAACGAGGATGTGGCTTTTTGTGTGCGAATTCACAATCAGCCTCGGCGCGATGCACTAAAAATCCGTGGTGATTCTTCACCTCTTAACGGCACTTTCTAGCTTTTCTTAACTGTTCAGGCAAAACTTTTTAGCAAAGCAATTGGTTGAGAAAAATCCTCCAATTTCTCCTTCACGCGTTTTTTTCTATTTCAAATCAACAAACAAAAAAACACAACGAATTATTGCCAACGAAAAAACGGCGGAAAATGCACAAAAGAATCGCAAGATGTACTCGGAGGAATTTCTCTCTACCCAATAAACGACTTTGAGACACAGAGAGTTTGGAATTTTGGGCGTGAGACGTCTTGAGCACTTCGATGTTGCTCGTCCAAACATTCACAGGTGACTAGCGGAGTACGCCTCGCAGTCCACTCTTTCAGCCCAGTCCGCCGCGGTGTTGGGCGATGGATGAACAAGCGTGGTACATGGAGAGTGGCGCTGGAGAGAAGTATGCTGCAGATTTGATGCTCCAGATGCTGGAGAACCAGTCGCTCTCTCGCTCCTCCGGCGGCCTCTCATTCATGCGCACAGCGCCAAGTGCGGCACAGGCACTTCCACGTGGTTTTGTTATTGTGGGTGGCTGCTGTCGCCCTCTCTGTCGCTCGCACGGCGACCTGTGGGTGGCAGATGTGACGGTTATTGTGTCAAATTCTCGCACAGTGACCCCATCATTTATCTATGTAGTGTGTGTGTGTACACATCTTCCTCGATTTGCGTTCCCTGTGTCCCGGTCTCCCCGGCTCCCTTTCGACACTTGACATCCTGCACAAGCTGGTAAACACACCTTGAGCCAGATGTCAATTAAATCGCAGACTATATGTGTGTGCAAAATCGAGAAGTGTGAAGTCCCCTTTGTGATGAAAACCATCTTTCAGTGGCTGCAGTTGCATTAACACGAGAAGTTATCTGTGCGGAAGTCACAAGGATTTCTCCACGAACCCCTTTTAGAAAATGTAAGCTGCATCGCACACGTTGCACAGCAGCGTGCTCTCAAAGGAGAGTAGCAGCAACAAAGCATTTTCTGCATTTTTACCACTTGTACATCGTGCTGGGGATGTGGGCGAATTTTGAGCACGACAGAATTGAGGTTCTTGTGGGCGGGGCATTCAAATGGGCGGGGCTTATAGTGTTCTTTTCCCTTTTAGGACACGCTTGTGCTCAACTTGGTAGTTATTTTGGTTTAATTGTCCCTCAGCCAATATGCTAAATCTAACTCAGTCATGATGCTCACGTGAGTGGAAATAGTGGCGAAAAGGTCATGTGATATTCATGTAATGATACCGCATTTTTTTGAATATCTCTTTTAATATCCTTGGACGGAATATAGGATGACAGAACTCTGGCCACACTATATAGTGTACTTTATACACACAAGGCAGCGGGATTATTTTGGTCATGTGTCCTTTTAAGACTTCTTCACTCACGGCTTCTCTCGCATCACTTACATTTTAGGTGGTGAGCATCAGCTATTATGTTTACGACCGAAAAACATGCAAATGTCATTCGGGATGAGACAAAATGTGTTACGAGAGGGTAATTAATTAACAAATAAATCTCCCATCGTTCGCCGGGGTATTAATTATTGAGTGAAGAGGTCAAGAGTTTGAGGAAATGTGTGGCACTTCAATTAATCTCTCGTGGATGCTGAAAGTTTTTCCAATTTCCAGAGCGACGCTGTGTGTGTGTGTGAATGAAAAGTATGTGATAGCGCAATTGGGTGGTAACGAATTTCTGTGGATTTCAATTCAATTTAAGATTACAAGTGTTCGCCAAAGTCGGCACCAAAAGGTGAAGTTTGACTCGGATCAATTTGCTCTCGCACATAAACTTCTACATAGAGTCGCAATTTTGCTATGTATGCAGATAACATTCAGCACACAAAAAAAATGGCTTCAACCAGTGAAAAGCAAAATCAATGATTAATTTCCCCGTATAATATTTGTATAATAAAACGTGTTTGTACAAACTTTATGATGCAGTCTGTGGAGTAAATATGAGGAGAAGTGATTAATTATTCCTCTAACTTCATCTGACTAATACAGCAGATAATTTTGGACAATTTCTCATCAATACCCTTGGCGTTTATGTACGGCAAAGTTTTCCTTCATTCCATATTTTGCTCAATTCAATATTTACCCCCTCGTGACTCTCTCGTCTCATCAAATATCTCCCATATTTGTCAAACAATTAATTTCCTCCCCATTGACTGCTCTCTTGGCATCGAAAGACACTTATGATATTGTTGGTCTTTGAGACAATTACCATTGGTTTGTCTTGCAATTTCCCCACAAGAGTCAATAATGGCAGTGCTGCAAAATTCATCTGCACACGGCGCGCTCTATTCACATCCGCGGGTAAATTTACATTTGCAGCATCTTAAGTTATTTAAGAAGCCAAATGATCACGTATGAATCTTCCATGTGGGCTTTATGCATTATTTACTGTGGAAGCACAGAAGTAATGGAGAAAAAAAACACTTTATTCCATTCTAATTGAATTGAAAATGGCGTGTATTTATTAGAACTATAAATGAATTACTTAATATTTCGCGCTCTATTTCACTACAAAGTGTCTGTGTGTGTGTGTGGAAAAGAACAATTTCTATAACGTGATAATTATGGATTTAAACATTCGTTGCTTCCTTCCTTCGGACATAATTTACCAACTGAAGAAAACACTCTTTAACGGCTCTTCGCAACTCCTACCAGTTGGTAAACTTGTGCTTTTTCCAGTTCAATGCCAATGTTAGGCAAGAGCCCAAAATTAAATAACTGCCTGATGGTGTTTAAGAATTTTTTTTCCTGCGAAAGAAATTTTTTATTTGTTTTGCAGGAAAGAAGAATAATAATTGTTCTTCGTGTGTGTAGAAGAAAAAGAGACTTTCAACCCCAAGAATACACCTTGAACTAGTGCATAAATGTATTTCTAATGCGCGCGTGTTACTGTACTATTCATGTATGGTTAGAAGGTATGTGTAATTGTTCAAGTAGCTGTAATTAAATCAATCTGTGCGAGAGTTAATATGCACAACTATGAGATGGAGCATCCTCGGGCGCTTTGCGATATAATGTTGAGACTTCTCTTTCTCGATCACTGATAAATGCCCATTTCTGTCTCGCGGTAACTCATTTTGTACTTCTCTTGTGTGGTGAAGTTTAGACAGGTAAATTACCTTTCTTGTGCCGGCAGAATAGCAAATTCCAGCGCACAAGAAGACATTGGGATTCTCTCTCGCCGCACACAGTTTGCCTCTGTTCGGGTGGAGGCAATATTGAGGAGTGAAAAGCGAGACTCTGATGGGTCGTCGAACTGGGCGATTGTGATGGGAAAAGAGTTAAATATTCCTGAGTATAGAGAGCATCAGTAGAATATAGCACACAGAACTACTGCCTATCAATTAAATTTGCAGAGAGACAGCTTGAAGTGAGATTTTGCTCTGGGGCGCGCTCGTCTTAGCCTGAGCCAAAACCCTTTTGGCTCGCTCAATTATTAAGGGAGGATTTTAACCCAATCGTATAGTTTTCCCCCCCGTCCGAAAGGAGCAGAAGTCTGTGGCATGGCTGAGAAGAAAGTTGAGAAACAATTTCGGTGAGATTATTTCGATGTGACAGTGTGAAGTCCCCAAGGGTTGGAGGCGCTTCACCTTCAAGCTGCAGCGCCCAAACATGAGAAAAGTCACTTCCCGTGTGATATTTTCATACAATATTTCTGTGTTGAAGCTAATGGTGATGTTCATACAGCGGCGAAGCCATGAAATAAAGCAGCACTTGAGCGTGCGAGGGACTGATGATAAAAGATATAGGGAGTCGCGAAACTAAAATCGCCCAGAGGCAACATAAACATAAACTTCAGCCACTTTTCTCCCACACTTTCTTCATTCTTGTATCACTTAATTTATTGATATCGTAAATATTCACCCTGACAATGTTTCCCATGCTGTGTGTGTGATATTGAAGTTTCCTGACTCCTTTGCCGATCCCTTACAAGATTGCCCTGCAACATCCTTTGTGATAAGAACAGTGCAGCGCAGCGATTAAGTACATATTCTCAATATTAATGGACTCTCTACCTAATTGCTTCATTTAGCGCAATGAATGTTTTATAAAGCCACATGGCTGCGAGACTATTCAATCATGTTCTTTCTCCATCTATTTAATCACCACCCATGCAAACTCAGCGGCAGAGACACACGGCAATATAGTGTTGAATATGTTGAATAAGAGAGGATTCTGGGGACTTTGGCGGCGAGAGCTTCAAAAATATATTCCTTCCCGCTGAATTATTCCACAGCAATTGGCATTTCCTCTGCAGATGGACGAAATTCCACGTAGTCCCGTTTCATCTCACGAGGAGTGAATCTCTGGGGGTTTAAAGTGGAGGAATTTATGCTGTGGAGAGAATGCCAGTGAAAGGGATGAAAAACTGTAATCTAATATAAACACTTTAGGGTTTTCCACGGCGAATCACCAACAATTCACAGCACTTGTGAGTCACTGGAGAATCTCTTAACGCACACGCATCTGCCGCCAAACAATTCCATTGTCAAGTGTGCGCGGTTGTTTTGCAAAATACAACAATTCTCTGTCGGGTTTCCGTGACTTTCTCAAAGCTGAGGCTCGATTATTTCTCCTCTTTCATGCAATTGATGATGGAAATTATCATAATTTCTTTATCATTTATATAGGATTGGAAATGGGTTTCCGGACTCGAGAACATGCCTCATACATCAGAAGCTCCAAATGCTGAACATTTGCATGGAGAGGCGGCGGATCCGCGAGGGTGGCCTCCCGTTCGCCTACACGGCTGTCAACCCATCTGGAGGAAATGAGGGAAGTGGCAAGAAGAAAATTGATGATTCAGAAGATGAATTTTTCGATTGTGCCAACGACGATGAGGATGGTATGGAAACACTGTTCCTTTCACCTTCTCTTCCTCACCTTGGCTTTCGCCAAGGGAGCATGTGTGACTCTAATCTGTACACCACTTTAGCGCTTCCATCGCTTCGGCAGTGCGTGCTTGTCATTGCTTTTAACACTTCTTCAATTGCTTTAGCAGCCTTGAGTAGTATTTCTTGATAAATTTTTGATAAATTCTTGATAAATTGTGAGGTTATAATGCAGAATTAAAGTAAAAAATGATTTTCTTGCCAAGAAAGCAGTCAATATTGAGATGCCTTTAAAAAATCCATTCAGAACTTTTGAAAAAGACTTGATAAGGAGCTCAAAATGAACATAATCAAACTTGAAAATCATATTTTTGAGGTTATGTTTGATTTTAGCACTGATTTGCAACACAAAAGTTCTGAATTTGCTATTTTTGAAGATTATTTCGTTAATAAGTCTGTCTTAAATTAATCTCAGAACCTCTAAAAACAGTAATATTACTTTAAAATTCAAGATTTGCTAACAAAGAATCTCTTGGAAGCTGTACATCATCGCACAGCGTATAATATCTGCACCTTGTCTTTCACTCTCTCCAATCGGATTTAGACGAACAGAAGAATCGTCACGCACCGTGGAATAAGCCCGAGGGAAGGCTGTCGCGACTCGATGATATGACACTCGTTGACTCGGATGAGCCACTCTACATTCCCATCACACAGGAGCCGGTGCCGAAGACGGAGGACCAGCTGGAGGACGATGCCGAGGTGATGCTGAAATTGGGCCCAGGAAGTGGTAAGATTCATCAAATGCCAATTTACTGACTCTCACCTGAACATGGAAAAGGCATTGCGCTGAATAATTAATTGGGTGTAATTGTGATGCGAAAGAATTAGGGACGCAAATGATGAGTGCCTCGCTCCTGTCCGACATGGAGAGCTTCAAGGCGGCGAATCCTAATGGGAAGATTGAGGACTTCATTCGCTGGTACAGCCCCCGTGACTGGATTGAGGATGCTGCAGATGAAGATGAAGGTAGGGATAAAAATACACCAATTAGGCGATGCCTAATTGAATTACTGTTTGATGGACATGAATTGTAATATATGACCAAATCCGGAGGACTCTGTATACAGTCGCAAGGCAAGGAGTTGGAGAAGGAAGAGTTAATGATATTATTGCTGGGGATTTGGACATTGTTGAGCGCTATAAATAAGGATTTTATTGGGAGTGAACAACGTCCTGCTAAACACACTTTTCTCTGGTCCATTTCAGAAACGAGGAAGAAAGGGCACTTGAGCTCTCGAATGATGATCCCCGGCAACACTTGGCGAAGTGTTTGGGAATCCGCTAAACCGGTACCGGCTCGACGGCAAGTGAGTGTGTCTCTGCTAACGCGCGATGAATTCTCTCAGCATTTTTCCCTCACTTTCCCATCCTTCAGAGGCGTCTGTTCGACGACACCAAGGAGGCGGAGAAGGTTCTGCACTTCCTGGAATCTCGCAATATTGGCCAAATTGTTGATCTCACGCTCGCCACGCTTTTCCACGCGGCTATGCTGAAGATTCAGGAGGAAATCCACGAGGACAACTTCCAGATACCCTCGATGACTGAGCAGATGGAGAGAATTGTGGCGCACTGCTGCAAACTGTCGCGAGAGAATTTGGTGGGCGTGCGAGGCAAGAAGTGGCACAACTTGTTGCTGGAGTTGACGAACATGGAGTACTTTGTCATCCAGGCGCGCAGCCTGAGCATGAAAGTGCTGGGCAGCGAGGCGAAGAGCATCGGCAGTGCGGAGAGGGATCTCCTGGGTGACTTGCTGAAGGGGCACGAGGGTGAACTGAGGAGTGGCGCCAAGGGTGAAATCTCCAAGAGACTCCTTGGGTTGTTCACGGAGGCGAAAAAGGCGCAAAACGAGCAGTCTTCAGGCGATGGAGATCAAGTAGGAGATAATCTGGTGAGTTTTTAGCACCGAAGGGAGTAATGTTGTGTGAGTTTGGGGTGAACTTTCCCTTTGATTTCAGTCCTTGCCGAGTCCCACGGAGCGGCAATTCACGCTGCGAGTGACGGGAAAGACGCTGGTGAAAGGTATGGCGGGTCCGCAATTCCTGCGGGCAATTCTGGGACAGAATGAATTCCGTCTGTGCGGTGCTTTCTCGCAAGACACCAACTTCCTCTGAATTCCATTTTGGGAGATGCTCTGGATTCCTTTGCGTCCTTTGCCAATTAAATAAAGCACGATATTAAGCTCTTCTCTTGTGAGTTCCTCTGAGAACCGTTATCAAGCTTTCTCAATGCGAATAGAAGAAGAAGAAAAAAAAGATGGTGAGAGGGGAAAAGTGTTTTCCGCTTCCGGTTCGTGTCGCGAATGCCGGCGCGCAAATCATTGTGACGTGGTGGTTGCTAAGGACAACGATGGGACAGGTCGATGGCTCTCCTTGAGACTACGCATGAGCCACGAATCGTGGGTGGTTTTTTTTTCGCAAGATGCTCATATTCCACTTCCTGGACATCCATGGGGAGATTTCTCGGGATTCTCTCACAGGGATTTGCAGCGGAAGTCCTCCTGGAGGTGTGCAGGCAGCGTCTCAGCACGCCGTGGGGGAAAGTCCGTGGGAAAATGCGATGAGTCCGTGGGAAAGGGAGAGAGAGAATCGGGCTGAGAGTGTGTGCGTGGAGGCGAAATTTGCACGATGATGGTCTGAAAATAGAATCCAACTACCGCAGCTTTTCGCCGTGGAGCCAGTCTGTTGATACGGCCGAGGCAGGTTCATCAGTTGAGGACCAAATTTTCCACTGTGCACACATCCCGCGCACCGTGTCTCGACAATTTGGTGGAAAACTTCTGCACTTTCTGGCCTCTCCGGGCGACCGTCGCGCCTCTCTTCGCTCCCCGTGGGTGATTTATAGACATTTCTCTCCTCTTCTCCCCCCGCAAATTCCACTCCCACCCCCCGCGCGCGGACTCTCCTGGCGATCTCCCTGCGTGTGTGTGTGCGGCGCTTTTCCCTTTTTTTTTCCTCTCGCAACACCCCATTCACAACCTCGGGCCATATCTCTTTTCCGGGACAACTTTCGCTGTGCGTGGCGCAAAAAGCGGCCTCCGAGGGTGAAGATCTCTCCGTGAATTACGACTGTCCTCGAGGTGATTTGCTCGGGTGAAAGCCCAGTGAGTGAAAGTCACACAGGAGTGCGTGTGTCCCAGGAGAGGAGTGAGTGAGTGAGTGAGTGTTATGCAAATTTGGTGAATCTTCTCACGCCCTCGGAGGAATTCCGGTTGCACTCTGGACGATAGCAGTGAATCTTGCTGAGATAAATTGACTTGCAGTGATTTGGAGTACAGTTTCTCGAACTCAAGGCGCTTTTCCTCCTTTTCGAATTCGCCATCGAGGCGTTTCCTGTCTCGCCTATCATCAACTTCTTGGGCGACGCGCGCGTGTGTGTCTAGTGCTGAAATTGAATTTGGTGGAGACGATGAAAGGATAAAATTCCTCCACCCCGACCTCAATCGTGAAGTGTATTGACAGGGCGGAAATATTAAAATAGGAAGTTTCACCATAGACACACTTCCTTCGCATTACCACGCAAAATATACAACACCGTGCGGAACGTACGTATACATTTTCATCCTGGAAAAACACAGGGTGTGGCAGAACATTGGCAAGCTGAAGACTTTGATTTTTGGAGGAAGAAATAGAGAAAGATCTGCTGAAATGTGGCAGAGAAAGTCTCTTCGTGTATAAAAACCAGAGATTTTATTCACTGAATCACTTTAAGAGGGAAATTATCACTGAATCGCTTGGCTTTTTTCCACTCAGATTCACTTCTTCAGAATACACTTGACCCGCATTCTGTATGTCACACCCTGTGTGGACTGAAAACACCACCGCAATCCTTATCCCGAATCGATTTGATCCCCAACTCTCCTTTTTTTGTCTTTTTTGTTTTTCCCCTTTTCCTCACCGTCAATTTACAGAGCAAATCGATCCTTGGTTGCAATTCACAGATTTCGCCCTTGTTGCGTGCGTAATTTCCCGTGCGTGCGTGTCTGTGTGCTCGCGACGGTGAGCTTTTGCCCTTTCCCGCATCGCGGATTATGGAGAGGAATAAAAGAAAATCATGATTTGCTGCTGGGAAATCCAATGAAGGAAGAAGCGATGTCTCACTTCGCCTCAGTGTATCTTCACACGCTGCCGGAACAACTTTAATTCTTCACCAACCAGTCTTTCACCGAAAAGCCACAATCATCCACACCATGATGTTCGACGGTGAGTAGCGCGCGATGTCTTGGCGATGGGGTGTGGGGATTGCGTGTGGAAATCAGGGAGTTTTCCATTGAATTTCAGGGCGAGAATACCTTGCAATATCAGCCGCTCAATGTTCAACAGATTTCCCAAGCCAATATTGGCTTTCGCATTTTTCACATCCAACATAATTGACTTTCATGGCAATGCCATGAATAAATAGGATTTTTTCTTCACTTGGGGAATTCATACTCAATTGTGGAATTTTTTTTCCTAGAGAGATATACAGAAATTCCCATGCAAAGCTGGGGAAAAGACCTACAAATTTTCTTGGAATGCGCCATGAGGATGCAAAGAGTGAACATCTGGCTTATCTGGATACGTGACCATTTCTCCCCCAATGCTTCTGCCGCTCTCGTGATGATGATGAGGGGGGGCAAAAAGACACAACCGAAGCCATAAAGATGTGCTCTAATTGCTATTTTACACATTGAACACGTAAAATTGCTCCAAGGATCGCACGAGAGCCGAGGAGTGTACTTGAAAGCCACAAATGGACATTAAAAAGACGCATTTCTCAGAGAGTCTCCACTCGACTCCCCTAGGCAGACACAGAGGCTGGCGGGGTGGTAATTATTGCTGAGTTTATGGGGTTGAAAGTCAAGATAATAATGTTCATTATAGTCTCGAATACTTCACACAATGTCATCATTACGGTGCAGCGGAGTTGAAGACTTGCACTTCCTCGAAAAGTCCCTTCATCAGAGACGTATTTTCTTTCATATTTTCTTGAAATCTCAAGTGGGCAGAGGGAAAATATATATCACAAGCGATAAATTTTTCAGTTCGTGAAGACCACAGAAACAAGAAAAGAACTTTCAAGTTTTGTTTCCTTATTCTCGTGAAATTGCGTAATTTAACTGTGACTCAAGTGTGTGTTTTTCTTCTTCCCTCTCGAGATGGAGAGAGAGAGAGGAGGTTTTTGTGTGTGTTTTCCTCCCTCGCCAAGAAAATGGAAGAGCGTCAGCAAACTTCTCACCATTTAGGCGAATTGCAAAAGTAATGATGATGATATTGTGACAGAGAGCTAATGAATATGGAGGAATGCTCAAAATGATTCAACTTGCAAGTTCTTCTGGATGATAATTTTGAGGAGTTCCTCCACTTCACCAAATAAACTGGGCGATTGTGAAAAGCAAGAGCCACACTTCTCCTGACCTTCCCCTTCCGTCTTCTCCACAACCATATGATAATAATAGTTGGGCTCGTGCTGTTGTGCTGAAAAAAAAAGGAACAGGAGAGACGATGTGAAGGACTACAAACGGAAAATTCAATTGAAAGTCGAGAGTTTCTCGAAATATAAATTTGGGATTCAATTCACTTCAATTGTGCTTGGACAAATAATGTAAAACACACACACTCTATTTCGGACAATGTCCACAATCACCCGCATTTCTGCCACTGAAACTGTCTAAGAGCTGAATGACGAAGAAAGAGGGTTTAAGATAAAAATTGAAATTGAGGCCACAATCGGTCGAGATTAGTGTGTCTGGTTAATGGCAAAGTGAGCAGATCTGGCTTTAAATTGAATGCAAGGTGAAGATAGTATGGCTAAAGTCCGTACACCACATCAGACTTCATGGATTGTTTAAAAAAAGACTAAAGGACTAAAATCTAACCAAAAACTGACTGAAATCTAACTAACAACTTTAAAACTCACGCTTTCATACAATATTTTACGATTTTCTTCCGCTAAAATTGCACTTTTGCGTATTTTTCTTGATCATAATCCTTTAAATAATTTTCTTTCAATTTTTTTTTACTTAAAACACTAAAAATCGGGACAATTTATTAAAAAATTTGAGGTTAGGTCTCATTTTAGCATTGTTCGTTCAAAATCACTTATTTCTTTGCGCAAAAATACGCAATTCTGCCAATAAAGTGAAATACTTTCAATTTAGGCACAAGAATTTCAACCTTTAAATGCTATTTAGTATTAAATCAGTCACATAACCTAGAAAAATGTGTCTAAATTGAGACTTGGACAAAAATTAATTTATGAGAGTAAAATAATCAACAGAAATCAAAGCTGTGAACCAAATATTGCATAAATTGCAACAATTTCGCATCGTTAGACTTCTAATGATCTGTACACTACTTCCGATCATATTATCTTCCCCTTGGTTGAATGTCGAAATTGGATCACTTCGGGAATTCCAAGGATTTGACTTGCATATTTCCTAATCTTAATTTCAAAGGTCTCTGAGGAGAAGTCTCTCTTAAATTTATGCATTGGAGAAAATGTATTGGAAGAAGAGGAGAGATTATTACTTTTTCCATCATGTAAATCGCTGGAAGTCAGATTACAACTGATAAATTGTGTGTGAGTGTGTTATTCAGAGAAAATCAGCCTATACATCTTAAGTCGCAAGCAGAACGTGTTCGCGCAAAGCCGCGTGCATTGGAAATGAGAGCAAATGTAACGAGAAAAACCCACTCATTGGCTCTGAGCCATAATTTCCATTTTCAATTTACAATAAAATTTTCACGCATTTCCACAAAGGAAAAGGCAACAAGCATTGGAGCAATAACAATAAGAACACCAAAAACTCATCCGCGATGTTTGCGTTCATGTTGGTCTCAAGTGGTGTTGTTTGGGTAAACAAGGCGCGGAAGATAAAAAAATTATGTCGGGCTTATAGCTCATAAATAATTAATAATTTAATTATTTGTCATAAAGCAAGTTGATATCTTTTTTTTTTCTTCTACGGCTTCTTAGGCATGTTAATGCGATAGACTCTTGTGAGAGAGAGATCTTTATTTATTTATGCAATACACTGCCTAAATTGGTAATTATGTGTCCTTTTATGACACTCTGCCGCTGCTGCTGCTTTCTTTAAGGACATGAGCAAGATATGGCGTCGTGATTTGATATTACTTCCCATTTTTTTCCATCCTTTGGAGTTCCGGATTAAATGACTTGTAGCAAAGCGGCCCCATTGACTGCAAACTATAAAATTTCACTGCTCTTCTGCCCATCCACTGAAACATCATCCACATGTTATTCCACGCTCCGGCATCTGACTCTCCCTTTGAGCTGTTTTGTGTAAACTCATGGGGATTATTGTCGTTGGAAAGTCATAAAGGAGCGCCAGGAATTGAATTTAATTTTTTTTTCACTCTCCTCACTTTCACTCCTCTGGACCCCAAATATTAAAACGTAATTTTTCACCCTCTGCGCGTTGGCGCAAATTCACGTTAGCGTGGAATACACAATTATTTATCCCTCAGGATAATTGTGGCCAAATCAAATTTTCCTGATGAATGAATCAACAATTATACAGAAAAGGGCTTTCCACAGGCTTTTTTTCATCACGCGGAGGTAACAAAAGTGGGCAGAAGAAGAAGAAAAATTCCATTTTTGATCCAGGTTGCAGAAGAAGTTCGGCTGCTTTTCAGCGTCTTCGCACGTGAGATGAATTTGACACACACACACAAAAAAGGTTCGACAATCCTTTGGGATATAAAAATTAATTTAATTCGCAGTACAATTCTCCCTCCGATGGTCAAAATGCGAATAGGATTACGGGGACAGATGGTCAGTCCTCCAAATGGCTTACCTCCGCCAAGGGGGAGTTAAAGGTCTGCATTTCACTTTCTACCACTTCCTAACTTTCTTGTTCTGATTTTACATTTAACATAATTATGGTTTTTCACTAAGAAATCTACGATATTGAGCCAAATATTCAGTAATTCTGAAAATCTCAATTAATCGTTAATTTTACAAGCTTTAAAGAAATATTATTGAGGTTATGTTTGACTTTAGCAATGTTATTTGCCATTGAAGCATCGAAATCATGATTTTCAGTGAGTTCAAAAGCTGAACGCTGCGAATGAAACGAAATAATTCAAATTTATGTGCAAAAATTGATCGTTTAAGTCACTAAATCTGTCTAAAATTTAAGCCACATAACCTAGAAAAGTGAGAGATTTAATTTTAATATACTTTTCTTGTAAATAATCAAAGAATTTTCAAAGAATACGACAATTTAGTAAGGAAAAGAAGCATTCAGGTGAAGAATATTTATAGATATTAAAACACTTTCTCTTCCCAAGACTTCCATTCACCACTTCCGCCCATAATATCCCCTTGACCGCAACGGGACGGCTTCTGGAGGATAAGAGTGAATATTAATCGGGGGTGGGAAGGGCGAAAGAGGTCTCGATGGTGGAAAAGCACCAGACGGTTTTCACAAATGCAAACTTTTCCTCACATTGCCTCATGTCCTCACAGGCATACTTGCGATAATTTATCGCCACACCTTTTCTCATTACATTTTCTGCCCTTGCCTGTCGTGGCCCTTCAACGGTCACCTCCAGCTGTGAAATTTTGTACCATTATTGGCAATTAATTCAGTGTACGGCTCTCCGTGCGTCCTGACGTTCTCCGAAGGCGGATTAATTGACGACACAGAGCACTATTTGCCGAGAATGTTTGCTGGGGAATCTCTCAATTAGTGAGACTGTATATTCTCAAACAATGCCTGCGAAGGCTTCACTTGCGACGAATTACCATCACGTTCTAATGAGATTTTGCCACAGGAAATCGTCTTACATGACAATCTACTAACACGCGTCGCATTAGCGCTTCAATGCGGCTTCAGAGCCATTTATGTATTGGCAGAATGCATGTCTTGAGAGCTTTCACATGTCCCTTGATTATGTGTTAAAGCTCCGCAGAGGAAAAAATTCCTGCAAAGGAGTCTGGCTAAAGACTTTGACTATTATCATTGTACGCTAGAGTCAACACAGAGTGTATTCTCGAGGGCTTCGAGTGAACTTTCATTTTCCCTCATGCACGCCCATGAATTTACCTGAAGACAGGCCCGAAGCTCGTGATGCTGATAGAGGGATGACAGAGGCGATGATAATGAGTAGTGCGAATGCCAAGCGGAGTTATTAATTAAGTGGATGAGATGAGAAACACGCAGCTGTTCCACTTTATTGCCATCGCGCATCATTTC